GTGTGCACACGTGTGCCAAAAAAAAAAAAAAAGAAAAAAAAACAAAAAAAAAAAGTAACTGATGGCAACCTATAGGCTAAAAAAAAAAAAAGGTAAAAAAAAAAAAAAAAAAAAACAGGTAGGAGGTTCGTGGGAGAGTAAAAAAAAAAAAACAGAAAAAAAAATTAAAAAAAAAAATACCATGCCCTCCTTCTCTGCGAAAAAAAAAAAAAACTTAAAAAAAAAATAAAAAAAAAAAGGGGTCTGGATGCTGAAGGCCCTAAAAAAAAAAAAACGTAAAAAAAAATGAAAAAAAAAAAGGGTGCCAAGCTCCTCCAGCTGTAAAAAAAAAAAAACCAAAAAAAAAAAGAAAAAAAAAAAAGGAAGGAAGTGATCACATCTGGAAAAAAAAAAAAATCCAAAAAAAAATAAAAAAAAAAACAGGGAGAACTGAATGAATGAATTAAAAAAAAAAAAACCTAAAAAAAAAAGAAAAAAAAAACTTAGGCCTGAAAGGATTCGAGGTAAAAAAAAAAAAAAGTAAAAAAAAACAAAAAAAAAAAAAGGCCTCTTACCTCTCAGGACATAAAAAAAAAAAAAAGGAAAAAAAAACGAAAAAAAAAAATAAGGGAACTTCCTGCTTCAATCAAAAAAAAAAAAACTGAAAAAAAAACCAAAAAAAAAATCCAGAGTCCACAAGTTTTTCAGAAAAAAAAAAAAAACCTAAAAAAAAATTAAAAAAAAAAGACCTTTGAACTAGAAAGGCCAACAAAAAAAAAAAAATACAAAAAAAAAAGAAAAAAAAAACTAACTGGCTCCAGAATGGAGAACAAAAAAAAAAAAAGGGAAAAAAAAAAGAAAAAAAAAAATGGGAAGGAAGCAGCAGACCAGCAAAAAAAAAAAAAATAAAAAAAAAAACAAAAAAAAAAGGTGACAGGATCAGCGTTATGATGAAAAAAAAAAAAAATCAAAAAAAAAAGAAAAAAAAAAGTGAAATATATATTCTGGCCATCAAAAAAAAAAAAAAAAGAAAAAAAAAAGAAAAAAAAAACACAGCAATTCACCACCAAGGGAGAAAAAAAAAAAAATCTAAAAAAAAAGAAAAAAAAAAAGAGCTTTGTTTTTCCTCCTCCACCAAAAAAAAAAAAACAGAAAAAAAAAGCAAAAAAAAAAGCATTACCTGTCCTGCCAATGCCTAAAAAAAAAAAAACCAAAAAAAAAAGCAAAAAAAAAAGCCCTTTGGAGCGTGCTCCCATGTAAAAAAAAAAAAAGCTAAAAAAAAATCAAAAAAAAAACAAGAAGTCAATGAGGGAAGCTGCAAAAAAAAAAAAACCAAAAAAAAAACAAAAAAAAAAATGGAAGTGGGTCACCTGGCGTTTCAAAAAAAAAAAAAATGAAAAAAAAAGTAAAAAAAAAAGAGGTTATTTCTGCCTGCCCCTAGAAAAAAAAAAAAATTCAAAAAAAAAAAAAAAAAAAAAATCCCTACCACCAAGGCTCCTATCAAAAAAAAAAAAATTTAAAAAAAAATGAAAAAAAAAAATAAACCCAAAGGAAGGGTTGGTTAAAAAAAAAAAAAAGGAAAAAAAAATAAAAAAAAAAATCCAGAATTTTTTTTTGAGACAGGATCTCACTCTGTCGCCCAGGCTGGAGTACGGTGGCATGATCAAACTTACTGCTGCCTTGACAAAAAAAAAAAAAGCCAAAAAAAAAAGAAAAAAAAAACTATGTTTTATAGAGACGAGATCTAAAAAAAAAAAAAAGAAAAAAAAAAACAAAAAAAAAAAAGTGATCCTTCCACCTCTGCCTCCCAGAGTGCTGGGATTATAGACGTAAGCCATTGCATCCAGCCCCAGATTTCTTTCTTTATTAAAAAAAAAAAAAAGAAAAAAAAAAACAAAAAAAAAAGCTGGAGTGCAGTGGTGAGGTCTCTGCTCACTTCAACCTCCGCATTGTGAGTTCAAGCGATTCTGCCTCCCAGCTAATTTTTTCTATTTTTTAGTAGAGACAGGGTTTCACTACGTTGGTCAGGCTGGTCTTGAACTCCTGACTTTGTGATCCGCCCGCCTCAGCCTCCCAAAGTGCTGGGATTACAGGCTTCAGCCACCGCGCCCGGCCTTACCCAGCCCCAGATTTCTAAAATTATAAGCTTTACTCCTATTTAATGTTCCTATTGAAAAAAAAAAAAATGGAAAAAAAAACTAAAAAAAAAATATCCTCATCCTGTCCCTAGAAAAAAAAAAAAAAAAAATAAAAAAAAAAGTAAAAAAAAAATTCCCTCTGGAGATTTTCATTACAAAAAAAAAAAAAACCCAAAAAAAAAAAAAAAAAAAAAAAGAAACCTGGATTTACCTCTGTGAAAAAAAAAAAAAGTGAAAAAAAAATAAAAAAAAAAATGTTCTCCACGCCTAGATTGGTCAAAAAAAAAAAAAAAAAAAAAAAAAAAGAAAAAAAAAATAAAGGCCAGTACTGGCCACACTTAAAAAAAAAAAAATCTAAAAAAAAAAAAAAAAAAAAAGCAAGGTAAGCCTTCCATCCTTCCAAAAAAAAAAAAAAACAAAAAAAAAACAAAAAAAAAATATACCCCCAGGCAGCAATATCATAAAAAAAAAAAAATCTAAAAAAAAACAAAAAAAAAAAGCAGAAAGGAAAGGAAACCTCTTCAAAAAAAAAAAAAGTAAAAAAAAAAAAAAAAAAAAAATGTACTCATATAGCATACAGTTACAAAAAAAAAAAAACAGAAAAAAAAATTAAAAAAAAAATGCAATAGTACTTCTCATATATGTAAAAAAAAAAAAAGGTAAAAAAAAAAAAAAAAAAAAAAGTAGCTGGGGGTAGTAGTGCATGAAAAAAAAAAAAACTAAAAAAAAAACTAAAAAAAAAAAATCACCTAAGACCAGGAGTTTGAAAAAAAAAAAAAAAACAAAAAAAAACTAAAAAAAAAAAAAAAAAAGAAAAAGAAAAAGAAAAAAAAAAAAAAAAAGTAAAAAAAAAATAAAAAAAAAAAGAGAACTCTCTGGCCTATACCTCAAAAAAAAAAAAATGTAAAAAAAAATAAAAAAAAAAAGATAATAGATAACTGATAAACACAAAAAAAAAAAAAAGTTAAAAAAAAATTAAAAAAAAAACCTAAAGTCCCAGCCCAGGTAACATGGAAACCCTGTCTCTACTAAAAATACAAAAACTAGCCAGGCATGGTGGTGGGTACCTGTAAAAAAAAAAAAAAAGGAAAAAAAAACAAAAAAAAAAATTTGAATCCAGGAGGTTGAGACTGAAAAAAAAAAAAATGGAAAAAAAAAACAAAAAAAAAAATGACAAAGCGAGACTCTGTCTCAAAAAAAAAAAAAAAAAAAAAAAAAAGGAAAAAAAAAATGACTCGTGCCTGTAATCCCAGCAAAAAAAAAAAAAAAGGAAAAAAAAAGCAAAAAAAAAAGAGTTCAAGACCAGCCTAGCCAACAAAAAAAAAAAAAATCAAAAAAAAAAAAAAAAAAAAAAGCCAGGCATGGAGGTGGGCACCTAAAAAAAAAAAAACTTAAAAAAAAATCAAAAAAAAAAGAAGAATCGCTCGAACCTGGGAGGAAAAAAAAAAAAAGAGAAAAAAAAACAAAAAAAAAAACCAGCCTGCGCAACAGAGTGAGACAAAAAAAAAAAAAAAAAAAAAAAAAAAAAAAAAAAAACCACCCTCCAGTGCCCCCAAGGTAAAAAAAAAAAAAACTTAAAAAAAAACCAAAAAAAAAAATAAGAGGTGGTTATAACAGTGCTAAAAAAAAAAAAAGAAAAAAAAAAATTAAAAAAAAAAATCTGAAATAGGTTATTCCTGAAAAAAAAAAAAAAAATAGAAAAAAAAATCAAAAAAAAAACTTTCATTAAAACCTTCCTGGCCGAAAAAAAAAAAAAACAAAAAAAAAACCAAAAAAAAAAGAGGCTGAGGTGACAGATCATGAGAAAAAAAAAAAAAGACAAAAAAAAACAAAAAAAAAAAACCCCATCTCTACTAAAAATACAAAAAAAAAAAAAAAATGAAAAAAAAAGCAAAAAAAAAAAGTTTCTGCATGTACTCATATAGCAAAAAAA